AAGGAAAAAAAAAAACCTACATAATAATAAATAAAGAATAGAATTGTTCATTTATATGAAAAAAATTTAATAATATGATTTATAAATAGGATAAAAAAATATCTTATTTCTATCTTGTAAACAGAATTAAAAAAAGTGTTACTGCTCTCCTAGGTTGATTTTCTAAATTCATCTGAATTTTACCTATAATGATTAGATGGAGTGGAGATGCTTTAGATCATGTATTTAATTAACTTGAATTATTTTTTTTCCAAAAATTAACTTGTAAATAAAAAAATTTATAGACTTTTTTTCATCTAAATATGATAAAACTCAAATTTAATTTAATAAAATTTAAATATTTAAATAAAAATATAATTTTTATATTATACAAGATAAATTATAAAATATTTAAATGGTGAGCGATTCGACTTTTGTAACAGTTAAAATTATTATATAATTTTTGTTAACCAGGGATTAAGAATCTTGGAATAAAAAAATTAGAAAGAAGTGGGAGGGTAGAACTTAAAAGTCAAAACCCAATTTTCACCGAAAATAAAGTGAAAGTTAAAAATATTGGAGGAGAGAGGGTGAAGGGGTGCGGGAGTGTTTGAATATTAAAAGCCTGCGCGTAGGTTCCAGGGAGTGGGATGCTAGTTTCAAAAAGAAAGGTGACAGCTTGGCTGAAAATCAGTTTAAGTGTTGCATTTTTATTGGCCAGAATTTATGTGAGGTGGCACTTTGAGAGTATGTAAGAATTTCTCCCCAAATTAAGATCTCACAGCATTGCAGCAGCATTGACGTACTATATCATACAAGTGGCAACGAAAATAGGGCACCAACAGCTACGGCAAAGCAAAAGAATGAGAGACTGTTTGGTATAAAAAACACAACGAAAGCCGCATTTGACTTTAATATGGGGGAGCCCTTATCTTCTCCATCTTGGATCTCTCCCCCAGGCACCGTGAATCCTGCTGTAAATGTCACTGCTGCGATTAAACTTGCCACTACTGAGTAGTTTCTTACCATTTCAGCTGAATCATCTTCACTATTATATTGTTTAAATTGTTTGTTCTCTTCACCAACTGCAAAATCATGTTTCTTCTTTCTAAGGTGCTTATCCAGAACTCGTCTTCCTGACTTTACTCCAATAACTGTCAATTTCATTAACATTGTGTTCGGCACCACGTAGCTAACATGTAAGGTATTGTCATCTTTGTTTCTAACCAGATTCAGCCTACAACAACCTCAAACAAGGCCTATTTGAAACAGCTTATAAGAAACTTTTCAATCATGATTTACAAAATATGAGATATAAGTATGTGAGAGAGTTTTGTTTCAGCTTATGTGAAACTTGTTTATAAGTGATTTCAAAAGTCATTCCAAACACGGTCATAATCAACATATATAAGCCCGTACCATGGCATTTAGCAAAAAGATGGATTTGGAATATCAAAATAAATGAATGAATCCACATACTGTTACCTTGGAAGCTAAATGCGGAGGCACAGCACCAATAGCAATATCGAGAGCAGTTTGATTGTATTTATTGAATGCCATTTTGTCCACTCTCGGAAGCCGTTCCAGAAGAGGATGATTATAACGATTGCATCCTTTTTCCATTTGGGAGCATGACGGCCAAGGAGGTGAAGAGGTTGTAACAATCACACAAATGATCCCCAGATAATATAACTCAAATCAATAATAATGAACCGTTTATAATAGAAATTCTAAGCTCAATACATTTGACAAAGTTAACAATATTAAAGGAAAATAACATAACTCTGATTCAATGGAGATTAAGAAATATAGAATGAGAGTAGCAGGAGAGAATAGAAGATCCAGTCACTGAGATAGTGCAGCTGGCCAGGGAGAAGAGAGACTCAAGGAGGCAGGAAGACTACACATAATTCATTTCACACCCTCCCCTGATGACATCTTGTCTTTTTATATGGCATCTCAACACCTTTTTGCTGCCTCTTCCTCTTAGCATTGGTTCTTCCTTCTTGGGCTCCTCATTGGGCTCCCTATCCTGGCCCAATTCTTCTGTGACCATGACATTACCTCCCCCATTAAAATAGACCTTGTCCTCAAGGTCTAGCTTGGAGAAAATAACTTGAGCAACAACCAAAAGGTCCCATATGGGTGGATCAAGACAATTCCAAATGACCAAATAGTGATGGCTCCAAGAAAAATGAAATGGTGTGTTTGAGGAAATAACACTTTGTTGGAGTCGTAGATGTACCATAACAAGCCGTAAAAAAATTAATGGAATCCCAGTTTGGAATTTATCTTCAATTACAATAGTGTAATCTATGTGTAGGGGAGCCATTTGGTTAGAATGACACAAGGAAACCTCTAAACAACTTGCCTTGATAACCGTTCCTAATGTCCCAAGAGTATGCATGTTGAGAACTACAAGGATAACCGCAGCACTATTATAGAAATGACCCATAGTATTAACACTCATTACCTCTTTGTATAGCTTGGCCATGCAGCCATTACCCGTCTTCAAAATTTGGTCTGAACCTTGATAAACTTTGAGAAAATATTCTTGGTTTACAGATTTCAAGGTGCCACTTCCAGAATTTGCAACAACTTCAGCCCAAAATTTGCCATTCAGTCCGGTCACACCATCAAATATTCTAGGCCCCCATTTAAGATACAAATCTCTAACATGAACACTAACCAAGGCCGATGCAAAATCACTAACCAAGGCCGATGCAAAATCACTAACCAATGGCATTGAAACTCTCGATATATAATAAGGGTAGCACATTGAAAGGAATGGAACAAAGATGTAGGCATCAGGAATATAGCTCAAATAATTATGACAAATGATAATGTCCAATGATCACTAAATCAAGGAATTGAAGGACATTTACCATAAAGGGAGGAAGCTCGTGTACTGTCATATGCCAAACTAAGATTAATATACGTCCATGATACACCATTAGAATATTAATCCATCGACCCTCTTATAACTTCACTATTCCGGCTAAAACCTTTACTAGAAACTCATGACTCACTTCAATAGCATCAATATTTTTCAGGTGTATTTGAAATGATAATATAATATAATTCTCATCACACACAAGCACCTTTAGTCCCATCAGAGCATCATGGAAACTCCAAACTATCAATATTACCATTTGTGTATCCCGAATTGAGACAGGCAACAAAGGGAATTTATAAATGGCAGCATCAAAAACATAAATGGAATCCAATCTTGTAGCCCAATGCCGACAGTGTATTTTAATCCATAAATGGTCATGGTCAAATAAGAGTTCGTTGAATCCATTAAGAGTCCAAATCAAATAAGAGATAGCAGAAAGAGGAGGCATTGAAATTTCCAGAACATTACCCACTGTCCTCATATCCACCGCATGTAAGAGATATGTAAAACAAGTTACATAAGTCTGCAGAACAGATTTAGATTGGGTATATGCAAAGCGATCAAACCTGTAACATGTCGGCTGCTCATTCTCAGCAAATCTATGTAATCCGTAAGGAATTTCTATTATTGAGCCAGGATCAAATACCCATTGAACAATCAATCCATGAATCGTGCCCTCAATCTGATTAGTCATCGGTAACAAGGCTGCCACTGTCAGAGGAACGAGGCAAGAATGAGGCCGCAGAATTTTGCTATTCTCGTGGCTGTCAGCTAGCTTCTGTCTCTCACTAAGAATGGTGATGCAGCGCCTAGGGTAGCTGAAGGGGAATTGCAGAGGCTGAATTTGGGTTACATTGAAGTTCCCAACGTCACAGTTGATAGAGTTAGTAATTGTACGACCGTTGATAGCCATCTCTTCAGCATCTGGTTTGCGCAATGATAGGAAGTCAGAGTTCACAAAAATGCGACTGTCTATCCCATCTCTCTGTTCTTGTGGACATTTGATATCTGATTGAGAAAAGGATTCATGCGCTGGCAGCAATTGAACTGAGTTTGGTCTCTGCGAAGGTGGAGACTCATAGACTAATCCCGTACTGCTCATGATCCTAGCCATTGTGGCCTCCATTTGGTCAATCCGGGAATAATCCTTCATCACGTCAACAGTAGTCTCAATCTCTGTAAACCGATTAAGAAGTAATGACGTTGTAATCTTATTTGCTTTAAAGCCATCGATCGAAGGAGATCTATCCTTCAAAGTAGATTGTGACTGTTCAGTTCTTTGATTCAAGGCACCGATTGAATTGCTGAGCCTTTGCAGCAGATGTTCCATTCGGTCGAAACGATCATCTATTCGCTTAAAGCGACCCCCAGCCTCATCGATGAAATCATTTACCTTCTTCATATCAGCTTGCAACTCGCTCATAATCGTACTGTCCGCCATTAGGGTGAATAAATCTCTCAATGAAAGCACCAATTGTAACAATCACACAAATGATCCCCAGATAATATAACTCAAATCAATAATAATGAACCGTTTATAATAGAAATTCTAAGCTCAATACATTTGACAGAGTTAACAATATTAAAGGAAAATAACATAACTCTGATTCAATGGAGATTAAGAAATATAGAATGAGAGTAGCAGGAGAGAATAGAAGATCCAGTCACTGAGATAGTGCAGCTGGCCAGGGAGAAGAGAGACTCAAGGAGGCGGGAAGACTACACATAATTCATTTCACACCCTCCCCTGATGACATCTTGTCTTTTTATATGGCATCTCAACACCTTTTTGCTGCCTCTTCCTCTTAGCATTGGTTCTTCCTTCTTGGGCTCCTCATTGGGCTCCCTATCCTGGCCCAATTCTTCTGTGACCATGACAGAGGTGCGTTTCCATCATCATCTTTCTCATTGCACAACTTGCTCCTTTGTGGTGCATCTTGCATGATCTGTTCTAGTCCTCCGGAAAGGTAATTGTCTTCTCTCATTGTAGTGTAGTGAAGAGCATTAGAGCCCTTTTCATCCACCAATTCACAACAATCTGGACAATATTCTAATATCTTTCTCATTACAGATGAATTTTCATGAAGTGCTGCAAAGTGAAGAGCCGTCCTTCCCTTCTTGTCTCTCATGAATGCTGTGCTTCTGTACTGTCATTCTCTAGCAACACCCTTACCATATCTGAATTTGTGTAAAGTGCTGCCAAGTGAAGTGGCACCCAACCATTTTCATTTGCTTCTTTTGTTGCTAATGAGTTTTTTGCCAACAAGTTTGACACTACTACTTCTGTGATAAATAACATCAAATTAAAAACATAACTATTAAACCTTAATTTGTATGTACTTTTTTTTTTATATAAACTCAAAATATTCTTAAGTTACTTTGAACTTGAAACTAATCTCTGTCAAGCAAGAAGTATTAAGATTAAAGCCCTCCCAATAAGTGAGCTTCTCAGGACTCAAACTTATGCTCTTTTCTTTATTAGGGTAAGATCGCTTACTATCTCAACCAACAACTTGTTGGTAATTTGTATGTAAATTTATTATTTAGTGACTGCAACAATTCTGATAAATTATTTCAAAAGGTCTATGTGAGCTGTTGCTTCGTTTTTTTTTTTTAGCAAAGAAAATTATTCCTAGGAAATCAGACATATTAGAGATGTAAATCAAAATTTGATGACTATAAAAGAGAAATGGCAATAGACAAGCTGTTAGTTAAGATGGTAAGCAGTCTCACCATCATAAGAAGGAGAACATAAATTGGAATCCTAAGAAACACACTTATTAGAAGAGCTTTAACCTTAATACTCCCAGCTTGGTAAATATTAGTCTCAAGTCTATAGTGACCTAAAGATATTCTGAATTATAAAAAAAAAACAGATAGAAATGGCAAAATCATACAATAAAATACCTTTGCTACCATGAAGAACTGCGGCATGCAAAGCAGTTTTGCCATTAGGACCATTATATTGTGGTGAATTACTTTTATCCAATATTGCATCCACCACGTTCCAATACCGTCTCTCAACAGCAATATAAAGTGGAGTTTCGTCTCCAACATTTTTACCAAAATATGAGTGATCTAGCTCTTCATTTATCAAGACATCCACAACTTCTACATGACCATGACGAGCTGCTTCATGCAAGGCTGAGTCTTTTTATCATTTACTGCTTTCATAAGTCCTTTCTCCGCTCCAACTTCATCTAGAGCTTTAGCAAAATCAATTAATGTTTTCACTATTTGATGATGTCCATACCTTTTTTTTTTTTTTTGGTAATCTAGAGCAAACTGAGGCCTATGGCCCCCTCCCGATTCCCCCCGGTATCCAGCGCCTTTTTCTGAGTCCCTGGCTTTCTAAACTGAACCAGGTAACCCGAGGCAACTGACTAATCCGGAGCGGGGTTATTTTTTTAGGCACGCCCATGTAAGGTGCTTTGCACCAAAGGCGGTAAACCCCTCCCAACAAGCGCGACTCCAGGTTCGAACTCTCGTCCGCCTGGGGTGTGTCAGGTGCCTTTACCACTGCACCCAACGCTTGTTGGTGATGATGTCCATACCTTGCTGCTACGTGAAGTATGGTTACGGCACTCACCTAGAACCTCTTTTACAAATGTCTCTGATACATTGTTAGTAAAGTTTGTGAAGTGTAGATGAAGGATTGTATTTTTATTGGGGGTTAGTATGGACTTGATTTGCTCGCCCTTTCCTTTAAAGACATCAATGTTACCTTGCATTGCAGCGTTGTGAAATTCAGGTTCCATGGCTATCAATTGAAATTGTACGGTTGTTGAGATCACAAATAGCACTACAAAAAAACAGTTGATTAGCGACAAAATTTGCAATAGAAACAAATTCTGTCACTAATTTCTGACGGAATTTGTGATGGAAACAAATTCTGTCGCTAATTTCTGATGGAATTGTAACGGAAATTCTGTCACTAATTTTTTCGAAGGATTAGCCATGGAATTTTTCCATCGCTAATATTAGTGACAGATTAGCGACAGAATTTCTGTCGGTCGCTAAATTTTGTTGGTAATTCTCAGAAAATCCGTCGCCAAATATTTAGAGACGGAATTAGCGATAGAATTTTTTCCGTCAGAAATTTTCGTCGCTAATTCCATCACTAAATTGTTTGTCGCAAAAGTTTTTGTCACTAATTCCGTTGCTAATTTTATTCCATTGTAATTCCGTCACTAATCCATCACTAATTTTAAATTTTATTATTTTAAATTATAATCTTACAAAAATTTATATAATAACAATTAAGAATATAATGATTTAAAAATATTTTTAATTATAAAATAAATTGATATATTTGTGGAGTTGGTGTTAATGAAGATATCGTCATCATTCATGTCATCATTATGTATATACTAAAAATAGAAAAACAATTTCTTAAAAAACTTGTTTATATATTGTTAAAATAAATTCCTCTTGATTATTAATAATGATTAAAAAATATTAATAACTTTCTTATACAAACTGATATAAGAAAAAAATAATTTTATCATATATACAATATATTGAAATATATAATATATGATAGAAATTCAAAACCAAAAAATAAACTTATATGAATGCAAAATAATAATGAAGTGAATTTTGAATTTCAATCATTAAATGATAAAATTTAATCATGATATAATTAATACCCATGATATAGATTGGTTTTGGTATTCAATACAAAAACAAATGGTATATACAAAGAATTTTAAGAAAATAAATTATATAGAATATATATACAAGTAAGAGAATACTGTTTATCATAATCTATTCAAATCATTTAATTTTTTTATATAGAATAATTTATTAGATTTTATTATAGCAGTTATTTTTTGAATAACAAGATTTTTTGACTAATTGTAAATGATTTTCTTCAAATATATAAAACACAAATAGACAATATAATATAATGTAATGTAATACATATATAATTAAATTGTATATCTTATCAATGTTAATTAAAAAATAAATTTAAAAAATATTTATAAAAAAATTATTTATGATTTAAAATTCAAAATTAGTGTTGTTAGAGATTAAAATTATATTAAAATATTTTTCCAAAAAAATAGCAAAAAAATAGTTAAAAAATATTTTTTCATTAAAATAGTTATGATTAAAATTATCATATAGTATATTTTTAGTTTTTAATAATATATATAGTTGTTTGTGTAAAATAATATTATATATATTTAATTTTACATAATAAGTCAACAGGTTCATTGCAATTCAACTGGCAGAACCGCACGCGTGCACGGAGGAGGTCTTGGGTTCGAGCCATGGAGAAGTTACTTTGAGGAAGAAATTGTGTGATGGCAACACGTGACAGCACACGTGGTAGGAAGAGGTGAGGTGGCAATACACATAGAGCTGGTCATCAGTGATGACGTGGTGATTGGTGGAGGCACCATGTGGCATTTTAATTTTTTTTCAAAAATTGAGTTAGCGACAGATTAGCAACGAAAATTTCAGTAAAGAATTAGCGATGGATTAGTAATGGAAAATTTCTGTCCGTAATTAGCAATGGAATTTCAATTCCATTGCTAATCAATTAGCGACAAAAGAATTAGCAAAGGAACAAATTCCCTCGCTAATTCACTTCAGTCACTAATCCGTCAGAAATCCGTCCCTAATTCTGTCACTAAATAAAAAATTCCGTCACTAAAAGCATGTTTTTTTTGTAGTGTAGGTTCCACTTATGTGATTTTGGTGGCTTCAATCTTGCTGGAGCTAGCATTATCAAATAAAATTAAGCCAGCCCTGACCAAAAACCATATATAAAAGTAGATGGAATAGAATTCAAAGATGAAATTAGGCTTCTTCCTACTATAAATAAGTAATGTACGTTGGCATGTTTGTTTATGTTTCTTGTTTTTCAAAACAATTTTATAAAATGGTTCTTTAGAATAAGTTTTGTGGGGAACTAAAAAAGAAAAAAAATCTGTTTGAATAATAATTTAAAAAAAATCATATCTGATAAAAAACATATAACTTGTTATCCACATCGAGAAAAACAAAATTACGAAATATTGTAGTCAAGCAAATAAGTAATTGTCAAATGAAAAACTGTAAACCACAATTTAACTATAGTTATACCTCATCAGATGTTATCCATATATCACGACATTAGGCAGAAGAATATAAGATATAACCATACAATAGTGTTCATAAAATTGTCAATCTAAGATCAGACGCAAATCTGAAGGAACATTTCTTAAGGGTTAAAGTGCATCAAACCTCTAAATAAAAATCTACCTTACGAAACAACAAAGCCTCAGTACTTAGAGACCAATAACCATATAGGAGTTGATTCAGCACTAAAGAACAAAAACCACATCCATCATATTTGCAGCCAATCTCGTAACATTATTGTGGGTTTGCTGTGCATTCAGATCCAAAATTTGTGAAGTTTCTTGCAGAAATATTGTCCAGGTGGGGGCAGTATAGCTCACATAATCCGCTCAAGTGAACATTGACATTTTCGGTTGAGACTGCCAAAGTCCCCCAGCTTTTAAGTTTTTAAGTTGAACTTAAAGTAGCGTCCAAATGTTTTATCAAGAATAAAAGTAAGAGCGAAACCAACAATCATGGGTTCTTCCCAGCAGCGATATGGATATGTAGCAAGCGACAGAAAACTCCAACAAACAGAAAAATGATACATAAAATTTTAAAAAAAAATGATGATATGAGCTTATTTTGTGAGGATGTAATATTATAAGTACCTTAAAAGTGGCCGTAGAGATAACCTGTAAAATGGTGAGACAGATACCCTTTGATGCTGCTACTTCAAATTAATTCGTGCAAGTAGTGTGAGTGAGGGAGAGAGAGCAACAGGAAAGAGCAAAGTGTATTGAGTGGTTGAGAGTGAGCGGGTTGATGAGAGTAGTGAGTATATAAAGAGAGAAAACATGAATAAAATATTTCTGCGTACGCGTTTCTCATTTTCGCCGAAAGTGCAGCGTAGAGGCTGAAGTTTGCTTTCCTAGTCTCGCCGGCTTTCAACGAATGTTCTGCGTTATTGTTTTGCAACTACTTCAGATGAACTTGTGGAAGCAGTGTAAGAGAGGGAGAGAGAATTGCAATAATATTGAGAGGTCAATGGTGGAGTCTTAGTGAAAATTTTTTAGGTCAATGGTGGAGTCTTGGTGCAAAAATTTTACACTAACTCTGATCTTCAATATAAGAGCTCGTTTGACTTTCTCAAGGTACTTTTTATAGTAATTGCATATACTAGAATACCTTTAGTAATACCTATGTTTAACAAAGATATTTGAGAAGAGACAACGTCTATTTATTACGAATAACTAAATTAAATTTTTTAATACACTCAAATTAACTAATTAAATGTAATTTTTATGATTAGAGGTAAGTTTTTTTTGTATATTTTATTTACTCTCTCGTGGTCTTTCTATTGGTCCCAACTCCCAGATCAGAGCTCATCTTCTTTCATGTGCGCGGGTGTCTGTGCATATATTATTTTATTCTATTTTTTCAAAACCCCACCAACGTTCCGCCGATAATTTGTGTGAATCCACCAAGACCCACAGAATCCCTCGTCCTTTTCCTTGTCCCTGCGTATATATTTTTATTCAATTTATATTTTTTTCCTCCAATTCCTTCGTCCTTTCTTGAGTGAGTGTATATATACACTAATGCAAAATACTATATTTGGCTTATGTTAAAAATAATTTTTTGGGTACTGTACATGGGAATGAGGCGTTTAAACATATCGAAAGTATCCATAAAAAACACCCAGTACCTGAGAAGTTTTTTGGTTCTCACATGCCCTAAAAGTATTTTTGTACTAAAAATATTCTAATTGCTATCCACTGTGGAACAGATACTCTTTGATGCTACTTCTTCAGATGAATTTATGGGAGTAGTTGAATAAGAAAGAGTAAAGTGTTTGGAGTGGTCGAGAGGGTAGATGAGTGGAGTGGCTATATAAAGCCAGAGAAAATGAATAAAATATTTCTACGAGTTTCTCTTTTTGGCCGTAAGTGCAAGGCTGAAATTTCCTTGCCTTTTTTTTTTTTTTTGGCCTACTGAAGTTTCCTAGTCTCTATTCTGGGGTTTCAACGAAAGTTCTGCGTTATTGTTTGCAATCAGATAAACTTGTGGAAGCAGCGTAAGTGAGAGAGAGAGTTGCAAGAATATTGGAAGCCAATGGCGGAGTCTTAGCGCAGATTCCGGCTATACAAATACATGCCTTGATAAGAAGATAGCAATCAATTAAGCTCCCGAAAAGGCTATCAAACTTTGATGAAATGTTTAAATGAGAACTGCTCGTTCCTCGATTTATAGTGCATTTTTTTAGATGGTGGAAAAAAGAAAAGGTAACTTGTGCAAATGTTTTTCTTCTCAAAAGTCGTAACTTTTTGTTTTTTCCCCTGATAAAAGGGGAAGCAAGAAATGCTACCCACCGAATTACAAGAAAACAAAAAAGTTAGTTGGATTATTAACGAGTTGACTCATAAAATTTACTGATGTGCAGATTTTGTTAGTGGACTATATTAAATATCTCCTGATTTAATAATCTTTAAGAATCAACTCATCTAAATTTTTTTTGAAAGAAAAAAAAGGCATTCATTGGAGCAAATTGTGGTCTTAGAGGAGCATCCGAAGCAGGCTTGGCAAGGGAATTTGCTGTGAAGTTATCCTCCCTTCTGCATGGCACTGTTTCCACTCACCATTCCCTTCGGAGCATGTTCCGATATTCAAATATAAGCGACCAATCATCATGCTGCTCGTTATTATCCCC